AGTCAGTTTCACTTTAAAAAAGGACATCTTGAAACTTAATCTTAATGAAAAACTGAATATATTGAATCTAGTATGAAATTGATCTTATATCAAACTGTCTTAGCAGGACCTTTAACCATTTCTGTATCTGTGTTGGTGTGTGGATCATGTGAGGGTTTCTGTTTACAGAGTGTATATGAGTGTGAATTTGTCACCTGGAGATGTATATTTTTAATTGTGGTTAGGACAGTAAAAGGCTTGCAATTCCCAGCAATTAAAAGCAGCAAAGGGCAGGCGGGCACTGAAAGGCTGTAGCAGTCTCAGGCGCCCTCACAGAAAGCATCTCCCTGCACAGTGGTAGGTCCCCAGTGAGATACAGGAACAGCATCATGGAAGCCAAAGAGAAACAGTTTAAACCTACCCAGTCACAACCGGGGAAACATCTGCTTAGTGTGAAGGCGCCCACCCACAGCAAAGGGGCCCCCTCCCCAGAGCCCCAAGTACTCCAGGCAGGTTCCAATTCAGCTCTGCAGCCGGAACCTGGAGGGACAGAGTTAGGACAGGCTGATTATGCATCACCTTCATAGGCCAGGACGAGGGGATGCCTACCAGAACCCATTGCATAAGAGGCGGGCCTTGTGGATGGCTGTCTCATCACCCATCCACCTGGCCCCGGCTTATCTTGCTGGCGTCAGCACCTGTCTAGCATGACCAAGGTCGAGCACCAACTAGAGATCCCCAAGGACACTACAAGGATTCCAGGATGGCGACAACCAGAAAAGGTTAAAGTACTTCTCATTAACATAAGCTTTACTTCCTCTATGCAAACTCCACTTTTAATTGGTTCAGTTTAGAGTCGCAGCTGCTACACTTAACATTCTGGATGCACACTTATTAGCGTGTCTTGTTGAATGAAACAGGTTTTCATCATAGCTTACAGTTGATTATACAAGGAACTTCCATATTGGAACCCGGCCTTTCAGGGTGGGAAACCTGACTTTAAGGGAACATTTTAGTTCAATTCAATTCAGTTTATTTATATAGTGCCAATTTATAACACAAGTCATCTCAAGGCACTTTACTGTTCAACCAGATCATACAGTCAAATTGATTCAAAGTTTTTCTATCTAAGGAAAACCAGTTGATTGCATCACTTATTGACTCAAATACAACCCCTCACACTAAGCATGCTTGTAGCGACAGTGGAGAGGAAAAACTCCCTTTTAACAGGAAGAAACCTCCAGCAGAACCAGGCTCAGTGTGAGCGGCCATCTGCCGAGGCCGACTGGGGTTCAAGGAGACAGAAGCAGAGATACAAAAAGTAACTGTAAATGGCGACCCCATCCAGGAAACACACACCCAGGCAGACAAGCTTTGACTTGGCCATTCTAAAACCTAGATATGTTTATCCGTGAACTGTTCCATTTTTGATTTTGCTTTACGTTTTGGATTATTGGAAGATAAATCTCCATCTCATTTACAGACTCCAACAGATTTTCTTGAATTTTCTCCTGAATTTGGCTCCATCCATCTTCCCAACAATTTTAAATATCTTCCTTGTCCCTGCTGAAGAAAAGCAGGCCCAAACCATGATGCTATCACCACCTGAGCTGTGTTGCTTTTGCTTTTAACATAACGTTTTGCATTGTTGCCAACAGTTTGATTTTGGTTTCATCTGACCAGAGCAGCTTCTTCCACATGTTTGCTGTGTCTCCCACGTATGGATATCTTTAAGAAATGACTTTCTTCCATAAAGGCTGCAGTTCATCTAGAGTGATCATGGGCTGCATCCTTGATCAGTCTTCTTCTTGTTTGAGCTGAAGGTTTAGGGACGGCCAGGTCTTTGTAGAGTTGCAATGGTCTGATACTCCTTCCATTTCTATATTATCGCTTGCACAGTGCTCCTTGAAATGTTTAAAGCTTGGGAAATCTTTTTGTGTCCAAATTCAGCTTCAAACTTCTCCACAACAGTATCTCTGACCTGCTGGTTTGTTCCTTGTTCTTCATGATTCTCTCTGCACTTTAAACAGACCTCTGAGACTATCACAGAACTGGTGCATTTATACACCCAAGTGGATTCTATTTATCATCATCAGTCATTTAGGTCAACGTTGGATTTTTCAGAGATCCTCAATGAACTTCTGGAAAGAGTTTGCCACACTGAAAGTAAAGGAGCTGATTTTGCATTCCCCAGTCTTTAGTTTTTCATTTGTTAAAAAAGTGTAAAATGTCCAATAAATTCCATTTCACTTCATGATTGTGCCCCATTTATTGTTTATTCTTCACAAAAAATTACAATTTTATATCATTATGTTTGAAGCCTGAAAAGTGGCAAAATGTAGAAAAGTTCGAAGGAGCTGAGCACTTTTGCAGGGAATCATAATACAAAGTGAAAAGGAGAATGAACTAAAATTGCAACAGTAAGGCAAAATAAACAGCAGGAGAAAGAAAGACCGGAAAGAAACTCAAACACCTAAGAAACATTAACGTGTCTGCCTAGTGGTTTCCAAGTTTTAGCAGCTTTCTTCCAACACAAATTATTTTGCAATTTAGCCAGTAAATTAGCCATATTACAAACACTAAGCATGATAAGCTAGAGCTACAGCCAGAAAAGCTGGAGTTACAACCTTTGGGACTTCATGTGATACAGATAACTTTTCAAGCCATACATGAGGAATAATAATCCCACCCATGAATGTGTTGCACAGCATCACAATGTGTGGCCTGTTGACCTCCATGAATGATTTGTCTCCTTATCTCCACAGATACACTTGATGAAATCAGGATAAAAGACGTACTAATTCAACGTAATGCTCTCCTCTTTATCCACGCGTGTCAACATACAGTATTCTCCACCTATCTGAGGAAAATGTTTTCTCGTTTTCTCATCTTAAAGTTGCCAACCTTCTAAGCCATTTCAACAAAGTGTCATAACAAAATAAATTCATTTCTTAAGATCTGTAAGCACAGAAGCAGCTGAAGAGAACAAATTAGTTGTTCCTTCCTGTCTACAGCTATTGACATATACAACAACTTGTTAAGATAAACAAAAGACTATAATTTATAACAACATTTAATTTCCCTTTGGAATAATTAAGTTGATTAGATAGTTTTTGTTGTTCCCTTTTTCTCATTGCAATAAATATTCTACTGCTAGAACATTTTAGTATGCCAAACATTATCAGATTGTGAAAGCAAGATCATTTTTATAGCAAACCTCATAGAATCATTAGAAGTTGTTAAACATATTTCCTGTTAATCTAAACTAAAATAGACATAGGTTAGTGGTAAGTATTTAAAATGCCTGCATGGTTAGTCCTAAGAAAGAAGAAACCCTACCCCAGATAAGAATTTATTTTCAAAGTTCATTTTTACACTTTCTCGGCTGATAAAAAGTACAGAGAGAGCTGGCAAACCTGAGTATGTCATTTACTTGCCAAGAGGTGCTAAACGTGTTGCTATCACCTTTAATTCCCAATTTTAGATTTTGCATTAAAAACAAACAAGCAAATTAAATAAGAATAAGACATTCATGTAAAAAATGCTGCATATTAAAATGTTTTTGTCATAAACCTGTGTTCTTGGGGGTTTGGAGGTATCATATCCTATCTTAAAGAGGCCCAGTCAGCTACCATGCCTATACTGAAACACTAAAAAACCCATACAGTCATGTTAAATAAAGCAATATGTACCAACTCTTCGTCCTGATAGTGTTTGCTTTGTCCTTTTCGAGCCTGAAAAGAAATTTTGCAAGATCAGCAGGCATAAACATTGCTGCCTCTGCTGTTTGCTGGCAGTACTTACTCAGGCTTCCACTAACTTGGAAGCTTTGTTTGAGGTACGATAACCATTAAAAAATGTATGTATAGTTGTCTTATTTTGTAAATGTGAGCCAATAAAAGATAAGACTAGTTCTTGTCTATATGGACAGTCGATTAAGAGTGAATAAAAGTCATAGTAGTCATCCACTGACCGTTAGCAAAACCTTGCTTTTTGTTTCTTTTCAGTGCAAATACAAGCTAACTAAAGCAGAAGTTTAAGAAAAATATCTGTCTGCTGCTCTGGTTCGATAGGGCAGATTATGCTGCACACTTTGCAGCAAAGGTTCTTTGCTTTGCTGTATCCCACCCTTCACTGTGTCATTCAGCTGGGGCACAGATATTGATGGTGTTGAGAGAGCCTTGCTTTTGTCAGCACGCCTCAGGGCAGCTGTGGCTACAATGTAGCCATCTTCACCAGAAATGTGTCCATAAATACAATAAGTGTTAAATGTTACATTTTAAGCCTACACACTACTAATAATAATGTAAGTAATTGACCCCGTTCTCATCTCTAATTCATTTTTTTAAGCGTTATTAAAGAATTTTATAATACAAGAAGATGTAAGTACAATTTCCAAAGAACAATCGCCAGGGGTTTCAACAAAAATAGTACGGTAATAATGAATAAAAAACAGACTCAACGTAAAAATAGTAAAGTGAAGACATAGAAGCATATTTATAAGGGGCATATAAGGGGATTATATGAATCCCCTTATATGCCCCTTATATGCCCCTAACCCTAACCCTTATGTCCCCTTACATACATAAAATAAAGCATAGAGATAAAGTTTTAACAGCCTTTTTGTTATTGGAAGAGGATGATGTAGAGAAATAAATTGTTGCTTCCTTTAAGAAAGAAAAAACATGATGGTTTAGTCATAGTAATTTTACATTTATGGATATATAGAAATATAAAGTATATAATATAAAGTATAAATATATAAAATTTGGCCAACAGAAGCTAAAGATCACATACAAAGAAATGGTCAGAGAGTTGTTTTCTATATTCTGTAATTCCAAATAAAACACCCCTAAAATAAATTTTTATTGTTTTGTAAATATTCTCATCTGTAATTTTTGTGGTACACTTTTTGAGCAGAGCTACGTTGTGGATCTGTTTGTTGTCCTGTCTAGGAGGTACAACCCACGCGGCTCCGTTGCCATGGAGAGCGGTTCACCAGAAGCGCGAGCCGAGTGAGGGAGAGAGAGAGAGAAAGAGAGGGCAAGAGTGGGGAAGAAAGAAGGACGTATCAGAGAGTGCCGGAGTGCACGGACACAGAGAAACCATGGAGGCTAGACCCACAAACCGAGCACAGAACCGGAGGACTGTATCTAATAACGGAATGCGACTTTTAATGTTTGTTTTCATCCTTTACGGAGCCGCCGGTGAGTTAACGGTCCCTCTGCCTGTCTTCGCCCAGGCTACTTTTTTGTGGTAACGGAGAGAAGTTGAAGTATTTCTGTTCTCTTCGGTCCTTCGTCGTTACTGTTCATTACAGCCGAGTTAACAAACACTGCTTCTAACAATATTATCAATAAGTTCATGATAAAACGGGACTAGCCCTTGTCTGTGGACAGTCATCGTTCGAGAGCGAGTGAAAGTCATCGCAGGCATCCGTTGACCGTTAGCTAAACCTTCCATTTTAATGCGACTGTCTTTAAAACAGCGTTAACTTAGACTGCAAACCAAATGCGTGGAAGGCAAATAAAAAGTAACTCAAGGAGTCCAGGAGACAACGTGGTGCGCTGCTGTTTTTAACCGGGGAAGATTATGCTGCACACTTTGCAGCAAAGGTACTTGTAGCTAACATCATGCGGGGAAATATGAGTGAAATACCGGCTGGGATTTCTCCCTACAGTCTGCCTCAGAACCCATTGAGAGGCAGCAGCACTGATTTTGCGGTTAGACGAAAATAGAAACGACATGGAATAATCTGGGCGTCACTTATGGTGAGGGAAGAGAGGGAGCTCCCGATGTGAAAAGTTTGCCAAGCTGTAGGTTGCAGATGGGGGATAAAAAAGAGGTTATGTGATACAGAAGAGGAGGGGATGAAGACTTATTTTTAAGGCAGCCACTGCAGTTGCTAAGTCTCTGGAAGTATTGACCTGAAGTTGGGCTGCATGCCAGCCAGCACCTTCCCATCCCTTTACTAACCAGGGTAGAGCAGCTGGAGAGCTTTGCTGTATCCCACCCTTCAGCTGGGATTACAGGGCATGGCTCATCTGCAAAGACAGAACAGGGGACAAACACAGGAGGCTGCTAAGTAAATACTATCCTACCATGAAGCATTACATTAATCAATAAATTCAAGGGCAGAAAAAAGCTTGTCACAAATTTGTGCATCTCAGCCAACTTCTACCATAGGAAATAAAGTCTTCCTGCATAGATATCCTTAATATCTTTAACATAGCCAATAAAGTCTGTTCAGTTAAGTTATATAGTACCAAAAACAACATATATATATATTTATGTAACTTCACAAATTGTATAGGTGTAAATTAAATGAATGAATATTTCTTTTTTCTTTTTTTATTGAAGTCTAATTATGCTTTTATCATTGCATGGCCTATGTATCAATATTTTTGATAAATCCCTTTGAGCTTCTAATTATAATAGGCTGATCCACATACATTTTCTCCTATTTATGGACTAATAACAGACTTTTATAGTTTATCTAAAGCCATGTATTATACATGCATATATAAAGGTATTGTGGAGGGTTTTCACAAATTTTTTAAAAGACCCGCCCTCTCCACTTTAAAAAAATGCGTGTGCGAGAGCATGCGCGAGCCCATTTCCCCTCGTGCACACTCTGTTTAATAGTTGCTGTTCTCATAGCTCATACAAGCTTACTGTGTCCGAACGTCCACACTAACCCCATAAATACCTCAATTATTATATAGAGCGGGGACTATAGTGAACTAAATAGCAAACTCAGATAACTCACCAGTCGGACAGATGATCACTGCTTTTTGCACCATTGGTCACATAACTCCTCCTCCACCATGTGGTGCCTGCGCCATTTTTGTTATTAGTCGCCACTCTCTGGTAGCCTATGGCGACAACGGGCCGCTGTGACAGCAAATCCCATAATGCTTTGCGAGGAGAGCTCTCTGTGCAAAGCATTCCGAGATATATCTGCCTCTTCTAAGGCCTTTCTTTTCTTCTCATTCACTTCATAGACATTTTTTCTCTCACCACCCTTGGCCGTTTTCAAAGAACCATGGTGAGAATTGTGAGGTTCAATGACAGTCTGAAACTGTAGCTCACAACACATATAGCCCTAAAAGTGCGCATGCCCAGAAATTGATAGCTAACTGGGGATGAGAACCTAGAATGGCCTTATGTAAACGTATCACCAGAATGATTAAAAATTAGGGGGACCACTTATTTTGATGATCCACCCGGAAATAAAAGATCGTCCTCCATACCCTTAAATTTTGTACAAGTATAAATAAATGCTCCAAATACTACAAAATCAACCTATTAAGTGTTATGTTTATTTTAGATTTTATGGAACAAGTTTAAAAAAAATGTTTATTTATATTCTTCCAAAAAGAGACACTGTTAAACACACAGCTACTTGTCCAAGTGCATTGCCAATGGAGAGCAAAAGCATTGCATGAACACAAAGTTAATAAGAGTAACACAAGACATAGTGGAGGATGTGCTTCTCTGGGTGGATCATCAAAATAAGTGGTCCTCCCAATTGTCAATCATTCTGGTGTAATGTTTACATAAAGCCGTCTTACGTGCTCATCCTGATTTTCACTTAGCAGTGGTGAGCCTGTCATAGTGAAAAAAATTGTAAATCTTCTTTTGGGAAGTAAGCTTGTATGAGAGATGCAAACAGCAACTTTTACCGTAAATAGAGCGTGCACGAGGAGAAATGGGCTCGTTCATGCTCTCACACGCGTTTAATAGGCGTTCCCTCTCAGGAGCAGGAACCGGGTTGTGCATTTTTTTTTTAAATGGAGAAGGCGAAAATCCTCCACTATACCTGGATGAAAGAATGATCAGCTCGCTCAATTGCTCTGCTTGTTAAAGCATCGCTTTCAGGTTCACAGAGCCCAACATGTTATCTCGCAAGAAATCGACAACGTTTAACTTGCTATTAGAGATGAATTGAAAATATTATTATCTGAGAAACCCTAACTAAGGAAACCCTCTGACATTAGTCAAAGCTGCTCATGTAATAGCTTCTGTTTATGCTCACCAACCCCATTTCTTTAAGCATACACACACATCCTCGAGACACATGTTTTTGCATTCATACCATTCTTTTCCTGCTTGTACCCACAAAGCACTGGGTCATAAATCAACAAGAAGAACCGATAAACAACACACTGTTGCAATCTCAGCTGATTAGCATCCAAATATGCAGCCTGCTTTGTACTTTATGGATGCAGATGTACTGTCTAAATACTCACCTTGACAGTCAGATTAGCTTACTGTCAGCGCAGACAATAAACTAGGCTGAAAAGTAACAGCTTTAGTGGCCTGTTTGGTGAAAACTGTAACTGATATGAAGTTGTTGGAAATATGAAGTTGTTGGAAAGAGTTTGACAAAAAAGTGTTGCTGTCAGTTTTCAGGGCTCTGAGGAGGGGATTCATCCAAGGCGTGGCTACAGACTGTGAGGTCTGTAATTGAAGAGCAACGTCGTGTGGTTTCTTCTCCAGGGGCCGCATGATTCACAATATAAATAAATAATGTAGTAATAGAGCCACCGAAATTACAGAGTCAGAAATAGATAAAAAAAAAAAAGATGAATTACTGAAAGAGCATATATGGTTCCCTGGTAGGGTTAATGGCATCGTCGCCACATGGTATGGGGCACCTAAGGTCAGGGCCTTTTGTTCAACACGATTGCCCAATAACCTAATACAGATACATAGACACATGCAGGCCCCTCTATGCTATTGTTATGGTAATATTAGGGTACCATTTGTAACCCAAGACTACTTTGAATGACTCAAAGTTTAAAACATTAGTTCACAGAAATAAATGATCCGCTTTCTGGTGGCCATTGTTGGGTGTTCACTTTAGTTGTTTAATGTTAGAATTATTAACAGAAAATGATTTTAAAGGATGTTTAAGTGCACAGCTGTCACACCCATCTGATCCTTCTAATTTGATCCTAAATCTTAGTTGCGAAGCAGCTGATTGAATGCTCTTAATCACTTTAAACCCAGGCAGGGTTTTATCTGGCAGCAGCAGATGAGTGCGGGGCTTTGTTGTGGAACATTTAGTTTTTTGTGTGGGGTTCAGGGAGCAGGCTGTGGTCACCAGCTTCTGTTGACTCCACCCTTTGCTTCCTTTTCCCCAACAGATGTGACTTGCTGGGAGAAGCTGTCCCCTCCCTGGTGGTCTATTAATGAAAAAGGAGCTAAAAACGTCAAGTTCTTTTTATCAGGATTGTATCTCCTAACATATTTAAAGCTGTGTTTTCCTAAGACATTTGATCTAAGGGTCATGCTAAGTCTTGGATGGTCATTTTACTATCTGTACATCAATTTTTGAGGCTGACAATCACTGCTAAAAGTAATGTATCCAGCAGTCATGGGGTAAATAGACCCTGTGTTTGCGTAAACATATAAATATGTCCACAGGGGGCATGCCACATCATTAGACATATTTTAAGTCAAGTATCAACTTCAAAGTTTTACTTTTGTATAGTTATTCTACAAAAGCATTTAGCTAAAATATGTTCAGTTTTTACTGAGGGCTTTCTTAGCTGCATGTTGAACAGATTCTGCATGCCATACGTAGCATGAAATATGAAAAAAAACAAAAACAATAAAAAAAAAAAAAAAAACCAATATACCAGTGACAGCTAATATCAGATTATTTTAGCTCCTATTACCCTGAATGCACAAGTAGCACAGGATTTCTATACAAGCAGTTGTTTGCAATGGTGTCCATACTCCATCAGTTTTTAAATTTTTCACAATACAGCTAAAAATGTCACTGTATATTCTAAGATTTTTATGTAGTAGAAATACACAGTAGTATGTAGTTTTGAAGTGGAAAAATTGATAAATTGCTTTTGTTTTCTTTTGCATAAATGGGAATCTGAAAACCTTCATGTCAACACATTGCGTTATAGTTTTCAGTTCAGTTTTAGATTAGTTCAGTTTTAGATTAAAAATCATAGCACCTTCTTCTGTATGTTGACCCTAAATAGCTTGTAGCAAACAGGAACAGGATTTCCGCGGGTCAATAAAAATGAAAAGTCATTAAATTATTACTTTTTTTAATTGAGGCCTTTATTGGCATTAAAAGTCAGAAAATGTGATTATTTTGGCATTTAAAATGCTTTATATATAAAAAAAAAAAAACATTTATAAAGACGATTTGTTTCATTTATATCAGATATAACTGGTT